TAATAAAATACAAAGGGTTTGTAATGAGTTCAAGAAATCTCTGACAACTCAGATTATTTTAAGACAAAGTTTGTCTGAATTTTTTTTGAATGTGTTCAAGTCTTTGGCCACGAGATGGGTCCTTTGCGACTCATGCACGGGTGTCAGACACTGTTACCAACTCAGTAAGAAACATTGCGATTGGCCATCCTAAAAGCTGCAAGAAGATGGCGTCATCACCTGTTTGCATATTTGGACACTTGCCAGTGTTATCTAGGCTGCAGAACGGATGTACTGTATATCAACAACATATTAGTGTTAAAGAGAGAAAAGAGAGTAAAAACACTAAATGTGTGCACGACAACAAATCAACTTTCATGACTTTAATATGAGATCCAGATTACAAAACAATTTTGTAATAATATCAAATTAAACCTGAGGGACTGTTAGATTTCACAGAGGCACACGAGGTGGACGGAGTGAAGATGTGACTGAGTCTGAGTCAAATGCATTTATTTAAATGACACAGTGTCAGTGGAAAAAAATAGTTGCATCGCATTTTGTAAGCTATGATGGGAGCAGCAACAGCAGCTTTGCACATGTGTGATTTGTTTGCGGCGCTGGACATGGAGCGGGCCTCCTCTCTGCTCTGACTGCAGCTGGGCTACTCGAGGCTACAAATTGGAACAGCTCTGAAAACTAGCACCAAATTTTTTTTGTTGTTTTTTTAGCTTGGCTCATGTGAAAATGATACTCAAACTTTAACACTGAAAACTCTTTCTGCAAATGCACTTTAGTCTTCTTTACTGGCATGATTTATGGTCCTGTCTTGTACCTTTTCTGTTATATCCAAATCTGCATTTTCTTTAAGGTTCAAGAGGAGTGCTACGCCAGTTTGGACATCTGCACTGTGGCTCGTACGAACCCCGATTCTATCGGTGAGGTGCTGCAGGTGCCGGCTCACTTCCCCAACAGGTGAGCACTGATGACACACAAACTTATCAGCCTTCAGTAAAACATAGTTGTGGTGATAAAAGCTTTCTGTGATGGCAGTGTTTGTGTAAAAGCTTTGTTTTTTTAATCAATTCAACCGAAGTGGCTATGAAACAGTTAACTGGTTAAATTCAAAGGGAGCTTAAGCTAGCTATAAGAAAGTAAGCTTTTAAAAAGGCAACTTCTGATTAAAGATTAAATTGTAACATTTTATTACTTTCCGTACAAATCTGAGGAGTCTCTTGGAGCTCAGACTACTTTCTGACTTTATCAACCAAGAAGTTAACAGAATAAGAACATTTTAAATCCCAATTTAATCTGTTTTGTTCATCAATTACAACACTAAATGTTGTATTTTTACCTATATTTATAGAACTGTTTGTATAATTAAATGTTAAGAAGAAAATGGTAAAAGTCTTAGAAATACACAACGATCTGCAGTCCTTTCAATATTATAAAACTGAGTATAACTGTATGCATGCCATCTTAACAGCATCAATATGTCTGTGAAGCAAAGAGGTTCTGATTTGATCCACTTTGAGTTAATTTCAGTTTGTCCAGTTGAGGTCACTGTGGACACAGTTTATTAACATCCAGTTGAGCTCCCAGCCTTTGGTTGATATTTGGGTAATAAAACAATCACTTAAATGTTTTGAGATTTTTCAGTTTTTATCCATTATGATTTTCAAAACAAACCAATAAAAATGTCTAAGAGAGGAACTTGAACTATCAAAAACATGCAATAAACATGTTATTTTTAAGGTGCAACACACTCATTTCTACAGCAGAATACTTTAGGGTGTTTTTTAAATTTTTTGTAGTTTTAAGTGCAGCAGAACCAGATATATTGGTTTTAGATCTTCAAACTCTCCTGTTGTGTTGTAAATGACTTCATCGTGTGTCCCGTGCTGAACCTGCAGGTACTACAGCACCCTGCTGCAGACTCTGCAGACCTGTGACGAGGAGACGGTGGCAGTGGTGAGGGCAGGGGTCGTGGCCCGCTTGGGGCCCGACATGGAGACCTTCCTCCAGCTCGTCCAGAACAAACCCTGTCCATCCGGTTCTGACGCCAGCACCTACAGCAACCCGGCCAGTTGGAGGAACATGCCCGTGTTCAACATCCAGCCCGGCTTCAGAGGCAGGGACCCCACCCACCTGTTTGCCCGGAAGAGATCCCTGGACAACCTGGAGAAGAGGGTTAACGCTGACAAATAGATAAATGTTAACAGTTGAACACAGTGACGCAGCTGCTGAACGCTTTAGATGGTGAGGTGGTCATTATGAATATTTTTGGAGCCCATCCACAAACTTTTTAATATGAATCTTATCCTCTTGCAAACATTTTGAACGGTACCACAAATTATTCCGATTGTAATTGATATTTATTTTAAATTAATTTATTAAGTTGTCCAGTTTTGGTTTATTTAAAGAGAGGTAAAAGAAGCTGACGAGATCTGAAGGTCCTTTCACGCTGGTCGTGGAGGTCTTTATCATCCCTTTTTGCTGGTCTGACATAACTTTATAAGCTATATATTGTGTTTAAAAATAATAATAAAGAGATGAGCACCAAAATATGTATTGTAGCAGATTTGGCTGGTTTTGTTTTAGAAATAAACTCTGTGATGTGACTGAGTCTGACTGGTTTATTTGCACTGAAGTTTGTTTTTTCTTTTTTTTCATGACTAAAGTCTACAACAAAATGCTGTCAACTTTAGGTTGAAATTTTAAATTAAGTAAAAAAAATGCACCTTGACAAAAAAATAAAATAAAAAATGAAGACCCCCAGACAGTATGATAAAAATAAAATGGCACTGCACATTTTAAAAGGTATAAAACGCTAAGGTTGCAGTATTGAAACAAATGCATAATGACAGTAGGGGAGACCGGGGACAGAAGCAACAAGGGACGGTTGCAACACGTCATTTTTCTCCAAACGGAAACAAGCTAGAGTGATGACACTCACACTGTCCATGCTCAGTTAGATGTCCCACCTTGCAAAGAAAAAGTAGGCAGATTCAAAAACTGCTCCAGGATTTATTTGAAAAAAAAAAAACTGTTTTTGAGGAACCAAAGTATTTTTTATTTTTTTGCTTAGCTTTATTTTTGTTATACTGTTCTGTTTTTGTGATCCAGCTCAAACTTATATGGTTTAAACAAGTGATATGTTGACTTTTAACTAATAGAGTTAACATGTATCCAGATCAGCTTATTTAGCTAACACATGAGGTTTTATCATGGCTGACAGGAAGGGGATAAAATAAATCCAAATAAAACAAAGCACATACAGATGATATTAAGATGTTGAAATTAACTTTACACTTAAAAGGGTATTGGGTATTCATGACAATTTTATAGTTTAAAACAAAAGTGTTTTAGATGTATTTTCTGCAGTTTTCAACAATGGTTTTAAAATCCCAGTTTCTTTCAATGTAAATTTTGCATGATGTAGACATACAGTGACAATAGGCAGAACAAGTTAATTTTCTCCCGAATTGTTCTATAATCCTTGTCTCTAAAAGTCAACTGTATTTTATGTCAATTAGAGTCTTTGACATCTGTATATAAGGTCTACTCATCAAAGCAAATTTATATTTATCAGTTCATCAAAAAGAATAAATAAATAACACTGTAATATCATAACTTACAGTTTTTATTAATTTAGCAAAAACATAAATATAAAAATAATAAAACTATTATTTACAGTGAAATATATTGTATTAATAATATGTTGCAACTGTCCCTGGCCTCGGGGTCAGTTGCAACACCTGACTTTTCATTTTCAAATGCAACTTGTTAAGAACGTACATGCTTTAATCATCTGTTAATGGTTTTGACATTTAACAGACAGATGTAAGTTTGTTGTATTAAACTTTGGTTTGTCTGATTCAAACCATCTCTGAGTAACAGAGTCAAATTTAAAAAGTGTTGCAACTGTCCCCGGTCTCCCCTACAGGCACAGACGATCCCATGTTCAGGGCTTGACACGTCCCCAGGTTGGGATACAAGCAGCGTCACAGTGTAGAACCAATATATACAGTTAGTGACACACGGTGCTGTTGTTCTCACACCAGTTCAGATGACAGACATCAGATGTCATGAGGTTCTGTATTGCTTGGTGCACAACACAGCAATGTTTTCTTAGAGCTCAAAATCACAAACATTATGTATAATCCTTGAAAAGTCGTGCTTTGATTTAGAAGGGGTTGGGGTGGGGATACTTCACGACTCTGTTATATAAGGACGGACCAAATATGTGACACAAAACTCTCAGAAACCTGCTGCTGGACAGCTCAGACTGTGGGTTCTTTTAAAACAAGCTTTAAAACAAAAAAAATGTTTTAGTGAGCTTCACCTTTTTTGTATGAGAGTTTGATAGTATGTGTGAGAGGGTTTGATAGTACATTTAAGAGCAAGTTTGAATTATGGCCTAAAGGGCCTCTCATATTTTTGTGTGGTTCTCATTGTTTACATCCTTTGGGGCTAGTGGGTTGTAAATAACTAGGAGTTTCAACCTCCAAAGCTGCCACCAGATGGCATGCAGACATCTTACAATTCCAGCAGTCAGTGAATCTTAGTTTTTGTCACCATGTAAGTAACTCATTCACAGTTTACCCAGAGTTTCTCATCTTGCATCACTAGCAGATTCTCGTCGTCCAAGTTCACAGAACTGTGGGATGATTTTAATCTTCCATCTATACCAGGGGTCACTAATAGATGGACCTGGGTCTGGATCCGGACCGGAATGGTGTCTCATGCGGACCCGTACATAATGCCAAAACAAAGATCACCACTTGCGAATGCGCATGTAATGCTGCGTTCGGACCAAACAAGATTTGAGTGTCAGGGGCATCGGGTTTACATGCAAAGCCTATGGTGGATGCAAGTCAAGGGGTGTTGAGAAGTGTTGCTGTCTGTTTTGAAGTGTTTTGAGACAGTGGAAAGGATGGAGAGGGGGAGAAAAACAGGAAAAGAGAAGGAAATATACAGGCGGGTGAGAAAGGATGGAGAAAACTGATAGTTGAGATGGGGAGAGAAACTGAAGAGTTAACAGACAAAAATACAAAAAAATAAACAAATAAATAAAAACAAATAGTTGCATCAAAAAAAATTTAAATGGACAGCAAAAATTGAGCATTTTTCCCGGGATGGACAGAGTCATTTTTCTTTATACTTCCCACTGGAACGAAACCGGTGTCTCACATGTTCAGAAATGTGACCCTTATTAAAAGTTACAGTGGTTTGCAAAAGTATTCATACCCCTTGAACTTTTCCATATTTTGTCACATTACAACCACAAACATAAATATATTTCACTGGAATTTAATG